GCTGACCCAAGTGGCTGGGGAGAGGGAAGTCTGGGCCTCCCTACTTAAGCTGCTACCCCCGCGACCTGACCCCGGATAAGCGGAAGAAAATGGATGGATGGATGGATGTATATCCATGATGCTGATCTCATGCTGCTGATTATTTCATGTTGCTGTGTTCATTGGTCCTCATCTGCTCGCGCAGACTCATGTTCGTGCTGCTGTTGTTTTGGCATGTTGTTTTTGGGCTGCTGGTGCTTAGCGTATTCTTAGTCTTGTGTATTCTTAGTTTAGTGAATGTAGTACAGTCTTAGTTCATGACTCGGATCTTACTAGTTTTTCTTTACAATTTGTATTTTTGTTGGATGTAACTGGGACTCTGTGTACATAGTTTCGTCCCGCCTCATATACCACGTGCGGTGCGTATGACAAATAAATCTCTCTGACTCTGACTCTAAAGTCCTTTTATTAAGTAAAAGTTCAACTGAGACAGACATTTACTATAAAGTCGACCAAACACTGTTTTTATGTGGTTATCTTGTCAAATTTTGAAGAAATGCACAGTGACTCATCCCTCTGCGTGCTTCCGCAATTGGATTTTGAAATGCTGCTTTTTTTTTTTTCATTCATTCAACCTTTATTTAAACAGATAAATCAGATTTGACCGTCAAAGTGAATTTATTAAGGAAAAGCTAGACTGAGACACACCTTTGCTATAATTTCAAGCAAACAAATAATTGTTTTTAGGTGGTTATCTTGTTAAATTAAAAAAAATGCACAGCGAGTCCTCTCATGCACACGCCTACTTCCGCCTATCAGCTTTTGAGATACAGCTGATTTGATCGTCAAAGTGCATTTATTAAGCAAAAATTAGACTGAGACACACCTTTACTATAATTTTGAGCAAACAAATAATTGTTTTTAAGTGTTAATCTTGTTAAATTCTTGTTAAAGTTCTCCCATGCACGCTCCTGTGGCCGCCATTTGGCAGCCAACTGATTTTTTTTTCATTCATTCAACCTTTATTTAAACAGATAAATCACATTGAGCCTAAAAGACTCATTTACAAGTGAGACCTGTTTGGACAGAAAAAAAAAGTGGTAAAATGGACACATGTAGGAGTTGGAGATGAAAAAATTCCTTTCAGACTTTTTTTTTCCTGCCTGAGAAAAAAAACCTAATATTAAAAAAAACACCTTGCATAAACAAGCACATAGTGACATAGACAATCTGCAGAGGGGGAGCTGAGAGCGGTGAGCAATGTTCATAGATGCTCTCGAGGTCACTGTAAGAGTTCTGATAAGGATGGAATAATCAGTCAATGTCCTCCGGTGAGATCCATAAACATCCTCGAGGTATGTCAAGGAATGGCTAATAATAAAGTCTATGAGAATCCAAGAGTCCTGAAATGATGACACAAAGTTTATTCAGCTGGTTTCATCTGGTTATCAGTTGAAAATTCCTCAGGGAGGGGGTGGTGAGCGTCAGATCACATTTTCTCCAGGTGAATTCAGATAAGATGACCTTTAAGGCCAGCCAAGAGAGCCAAATTCAGATAAACACACAGTTGTTTTGGGGACAGGCAGTACTTAATAACACCTACCTTCAGTCTGTGTTGGTCCACTCGATTCCAAAATGTCCAAAATACATGGCCACACCGAAGGAAAGTGACTGAGTAAAATCCCCAAGATCTGATCCATTCTGCCCAAAGCATTTGAGTCCGGGTATTCGAGACACGAACCAAGCCATCATAAAGGCAAGCAGCGTGATCGGGTCCAAATTTGCTGCCGACGACTTCCTTGATCGATTGATAAAACCAGCAACCAGCCGAATCCAAAAATCAGGAACCAGTTATCAAAAATCCAATTAAATATGCGTCCATAAAATCCACAAATGGCAGCAGAGATAGACACATCATCAAGTCTTCCAAATCGATGAGATATCCAGCTGCATGCGTGCCAACAGGGCAAACCGGCTCGCCTAAAGCCCGTCTTCTCTTCAAAGAAATGTTGTAAATTGAGTTGAGGGACCAACTGATCAAAAAGTCCATAATTATGGTTCAGAAGAAATGCAAGAGTCTCACAAGCAGTTTTACAGACAGACAGAGCAGCAAAGCAGAGAGGGAGGGGGGAAGCATCCGATCTCGGCAAGAGCAAGTGGTGAATTTTTGGCACAACACCGGCCCACATTTCCAGGTTGTCAGAGGTGACGTGTAATAAAAGCAACGCGTCAGCGGTTACGCATAATATATGCTACTTACACGGCAAAATTACGTATTTATGGATTTTTCCACTTTATTAGACATATTTGGACTGATGCGACTTATAAGGTGGTGCAAGGTGCATGGCGGAAAATACGGTATTACTACATGTTAGTCTCGTTGAGCCTGGAGGACTCTTTTACAAGAGAGACCTGTTTTAACAAAGAACACAGATGAGGTAAGTAAGTAAGTACGTAAGTAAAGTTTATTTATAAAGCGCTTATCACAAACAAAAAAATCACAAAGCGCTGTACAATAAAAATCAACGCTAAAATATACAAAAAATCAAACAAGCATAAGAACTACAAGAAGCACAATAAAATCATGACATAAAAGCCTTTGAGAATAAAAGTGTTTTCAGTTGCTTTTTAAAAACCTCAACAGAGTCTGCAGAACAAAGTTGCAGTGGCAAACTGTTCCACAGCCTTGGAGCCACAGACTGAAAAGCCCTGTCCCCTTTAGTTTTCAGCCACATACGTGGAACATCCAAGGGGTTCTGAGACTGGGAACGAAGGCCACGAGCAGCAGAGTATTTGGTTAAAAGCTGATAAAGATACACAGGAGCCTGGCCATTTAAAGCTCTGTACCAGTTTTGCTGCTGACAACCAAAACCAGCTGCTCACATGATCAAGAAGGACCATCAGCCTAACAATGGATCATTAGCACACTGATGGCTGTTTACTATTCACAGAGGGCTGAGTGATAATAGCAATCATAGCAGTGTAAGAGGGGAACAGTTGAACCCAGAGGCCTCCACCCCTGTTTAATGATGGACGATTTCTTTTCACAAAGATGGCCTCCTTTACTCCTCTCTCAAACCATCGTTCCTCTCTGTCCAGGATGTGAACATCTTCATCCCTGAAAGAGTGACCGCTGGCCTGGAGATGAGTGTAGATGGCAGAATCCTGGCCTGATGATGTTGATCTTCTGTGCTGGGCTATCCTTTTGGCCAGTGGCTTTTTATTTTCCCCGATGTAAGACTGATCACAGCCCTCCTGACACTGAACAGCATACACAATATTACTCTGTTTGTACCGGGGGACTGGCAGATCTGGATGTATCTTCCGGTTCAACTACCGTAAGGAAATAGAAATGAATCCTGACTTCCTGACTCTTTGGCGCTCGTTGTGAACTGGTGTTATACCATATTCTGTGACCACTGTATATTGTGACCGTAGGGGGCAGTGTTGCATGCACTGTTGCAGGTCACAGAATATGGTGCAACACCGGGGCCAATCGCCCGAACCAGAACCAGCTTCCTCTGACCTTGTTTCACAAACAAAAAACAAAAAATATTCATCTCTAAACCTATTTAAAAAACTTATAAACATATTAATCTCTAAAACTAAACCTAATGCGCACCACAGCTGGCGGTGGTGGGGGGTGGTCGTCCGCCCCACAGTTTTTAGTTTTGTTTTTGACGTGCCGCATGTTTTTTCACTTTTGTAGCTTAATAATAATAATAATTAATAGTTTAGTTTTTCCTGTGACTTAGTTACAGTATGATAAATGACTTTCGGTAAGATGGCGCCCATGTACATGGCTTGTAATCCACCTCTGCTGATGATGTTCGGATTATTTATGTTTTGTTTGTTTTTTGTCTGGGACATAAACTCGCTGCTGGTTTATGACCGACAACAGCTTCTGGATCTTGATTTTTCTGCCACCGATGTCGCTTATTTGGACCAATATGAGCATACCTCTGGAGCCACCCCTCCTCCCCCCCTGCTGGCAGATGTGCCAGCATACCTCTTCTGGGCTCCTCACCTGCCTGCCCGGAGACATTGCTTCAAATGCCGAGGAAAACATGCTGGGCGGCTGGTAAAGCTTAAAGCCCTGCGCATTGCATCTTCCTCTTCAGCTGGTGGTCATGGTTTCCATCGCCAGCTTCCCGCGTGCCCGGACCAGGTAAACAACGGGAGTTGTCAGCCAGTGCGCAGCTCGGGCCGACCCGGAGGGGCTGTTATTGAAAACCTGCGGCCACTTAAGTGCGCGAACTTCACCGCTGCTGGCTCCACTTTGGACAGTATCAGGATGTGTTTGGTCAACGCAAGTTCTATTACCAACAAAACTTTTATCCTCAGGGACTACTTTCAAGAGTACGAGTTGGACTTTTTCTGCATCACAGAGACTTGGATGTCTCCGGGTGAGTCCAGCGCCTTGATGGAAATATTGCCACCGAACTGTCTGTATTTTAATGCCCCGCGGCCATCGGGCCGGCGCGGTGGTGGATTATTAACAATATTCAAATCAACTTTTGACTGTAAACAACTGCCCATCCCAGTTTCCCGCGCCAGCTTTGAGCTGTGCGTCTTTGAACTCGGCCACTCACCTCCAACGTTATTTGCACTCGTCTACCGCCCACCTCAATCTCAGGATTTCAAAAATTAGTTTTCTGAATTCTTGGCTGAAATCACACCAAAAGATGAGCATGTTTTCATTAATGGGGACCTTAATTTGCATGTGTGCTGTCAGGAGAAGCCCTTGGTTAAGGACTTTTTAGATTTATTTGACTCACAACAACAAACAACATATATAATGATACTTATAACATCATTAGAAAGTATTTTATACAGTACATGGTAATACAAGATATATTTGATGGCCACCACAACCCAACTGAGTGTGTATCTGATAAACACCTGAATCTAAACACCTGTGTGAGCATGCTTATCACTATAAGGTTTCTCCATAAAAATGTTCAATAGTGGATGTGGGGACCCATAAACTCGTCCCCACAGGACACGAAGGTAACACAGGGAAGACCAGAACCACAGACACACAGCGACCCCCAAGCCCAGAACTCCGGGAGTCTCCCAACAGGGACACCCGCACTCCCCAGAGAGAGAAACAAAGGGAAGCCCCGGGCGATCCCCAGCAACCAAAATGCAGAAACCCCAGGAGGCTGTAGTGACGAGTCAACAGGTCCCACCGGCAACCCGCCCCTCCAGAGTGGATCCGGCCATGGACACCAAGCCCCGAGTCCCAAGGTCATACCACCCCCCAACAGAGGCCCGACAGAGCCAGGGCACCCAGGCCCCCGCAGGCAGCTACCAGGGTGGGCCCACACACACCCCACCACCCAGCCCCAGCTGCTAAGAGCTGCCAATGCACCGGAGGCAGGGGGGCCCACCACCAGAGGGGAGCACGAATGGGGGGCCAAAACTGAGCCAAGAGAGGGGACCACCTAAAACCCAACCTGAGACAAACAGGCACACAGAGACAGCCCGACAGAGCCTCTGTCAGGCCGTCCATGCGCCCCACCCACCCAACAGTGACCGCAAGCCGGCCCCAGGCCGGGGGCAAGAGCATCAGGGAGCAGCAGCCGAGGAAGGCCGTCCCAGCACACCAATGAAAGCCCCACACTACAGGCCCGGAGAGGCCCCGGCATGCCACCCATGCACCCCCCCCACACACACAGCACCCCCCACCGTGAATGTCACATCAGACCGACCAGCCAGCACCCCGTCGAAGTGAAGCCACGCCGCCGACCGCCGCCACGCACTACCAACGACCACACACACACACACAACCACAGCCGAGCCCCCGCCAGAAACCGGCAGCCACCCCAGGTCTAGAGGCAGACTTCAATGATGTCGATTTGTGTTCTCTTTATCCCTCTCTCTCTCCTCTATTCCTATCTCCTTCTTTACATTTTAACTCTTCTCTCACTTTTCTGCTTTGTTATCTTCTTTGTTTTCCATCCCTGTGTCCATTACATCTGGAACAAACCCAAAGCATATTCTAATAAAATTTAATTTATATATCAAGTAGATCATTAAGGCCAGCCATAATGCTCTGCTTGTGAAAGTAAATCTGTTGGGCATCACTTTGACACTCAGACAATAATTCTAAATGTCACAATGCCAGACAGGACAAGGGAAAAAAAAAAGATTTATTGGACTCATTTAATCTAACTCAGCATGTAAACGGTCCCACCCAAGAGCGCGGACATACACTGGACCTTGTTTTAACACGTGATATGACTGTTAGGGTGTATTCACACCAGCCCTGTTAAGTCCACTTTAATCGAACTCTAGCTCGTTTTCCTAGAAAGTCCGGTTCGTTTGGGGAGGTGTGAACACGCCATCGAACTCTGTCACGGAACAAAAAGGCGAACTCAGGCCCGGGCTAAAACCTAGGTCTCGGTCCGGTAGAAGAGAACTCCAGCGCGGTTCCAGTACACTGTGAATGTAAACAGACCGAGCCCCGCTCCACAAGCAAGAAGTGGAGTACAGCGCAGGGCAAACAAACACGCATTTCTCTGACCTTATATGGAGCCATCAGCTGCCTTGTGTGAAAAACAATATTCTCCATGGTCTTCTGCCTCATCTTCTGCTCATGCTGAGTCCACTTTTGAAAAATGACAAAATATAACTCCTAAAACTGCTAAAACTTGATGCCACTCCGTTTTTGTTTTTATTTCCAGAAGAAGAAGTGTTGTCAGAGGTTTTTGTGTTGTTTCTTTCAGTAGTTCTTGGTGCAGCGCCCCCACAGGCGAGCGGGGGAATAGGTTGGTTCAACAGGTTGGCTCGGCTGCACAGTGCAGTGTGAATGCAAACGCACCAGCTCAAATGTAAACAAAATGTCATGAATATTGGTCCCCAACCGAACCGAGTCTACCGGACCATCAGGTGTGAATGCACCCTTAGTAATCTTGAAATTGGTGATAATGTTTTGTCAGACCACATGCAAGTCTGGTTTGAGTTCACCCTCCCCCAGCTAACTCCTAAGCCGTGCGTTCCTGCACGTAGTAGCCGGGCCATTAACCATTTCACTGCCGCACGTTTCACAGATGTTTATGACGCTGAAATGATCATTCAGCCCCTAGTGTTTCTCACCACTACTGAGGAGCTGACATCCCAGTTCAGCTCTGTCTGCTTAAAGACTCTGGATCATGTTGCACCTGTTAAAACCAAAAAATCAAAACTCAGAGCAGAACCTTGGCTGAGTGACGTCACCAAGGCCGTTAGGCAGCAATGTAGGAGGGCGGAGTGCAAGTGGAGGAAAGACAGGCTGCAGGTCTCTTTTCAAATACTTAAAGAGAGTTGGCGCTGTTATCAGAAAGCAGTGAAAGATGCTAAATATAAAAACTTCTCTGATATAATTATCTCAAACTCTTGAAACCCACGTGTCCTCTTCTCCACCCTAAACTCTGTTCTCCACCTCACTGAACCATCACCTCTGGAAGCCTAGACTGAGCTGTGCCACAACTTCTTACATTTCTTTTTGGAAAAAATTGCGACCACCCGGGATCTCATTTCCCCTCCAACTCATGACTCATCCATCCCACCTCAATCTGTAGCGCTATCTGACCATTTTGAACCCATCACTCTATCTTCTCTAGAGCAGGTCCTGTGCAACTTGAAACCGTCTGGTTCCCCCTTTGATGCGGTCCCCCCTCAACTACTAAAGGAGTTTTTTCCTACTCTAGGTCCATCCATTCTGGCTATAGTAAATAGTAGTTTATCCACTGGCGTGGTGCCAAAAACCTTTAAACATGCTGCTGTCCAGCCTCTCATAAAAAACCAAACCTTGACCCCTCAGTCGTTTCCAACTTCCGGCCTGTCTCCAGACTCCCATTTGTTTCAAAACTACTGGAGAAAATAGTCGAGTCCCAGTTGAAGTGCTTCCTGGAGGGTCACGCCATCTTAGAGCTATTCAAATCTGGCTTTAAACCTCTCCAAAGCACTGAAACTGCCCTGCTGAAGGTCTTTAATGACACTTTCTTAACCACTGATACCGGTGATTCTGTGTTGCTTCTCCTGTTGGACCTCACAGCTGCATTTGACACCATCAGCCATGAGATCCTCATTGCTAGGTTAGAGTGGTGGGTGGGCATCACAGGGTCAGCCCTCAATTGGTTCAGATCTTACCTCACTGACAGATCCTTTTGTGCCTCCATCAAGGTTTTTAATTCTGCAGCGGCAGAGCTTAAATGGGGAGTTCCGCAGGGGTCCATCCTTGGTCCCCTCCTATTCTCTCTATACCTGCTGCCACTTGGTGCTATTTTCCGGAAACACAACATGCCCTTCCACTTCTATGCCGATGACTGTCAAATTTACTTCCCCCTAAGACACAATGGCACATGCTCTATTCAACCTCTGCTTGACTGCCTGGCTGACATCAGGGAGTGGATCTTAAGTTTCAATGAAAAGAAGTCTGAAGTCATGTTGTTCCCTCCCAACGACACGATCACAAACCACTGCATCGACCTTTCCGCTCTAACCCTGTCAGAAAAACAAAGAGTCACTAATCTGGGCGTGATAATGGACCCTTCCCTGAAACTTAACACTCACGTAAACATGATTGTTAAATCATGTTTCTTCCAACTGAGGTGGCTGTCTAAACTGAAGCCCATATTGTCCAAAAATAACCTGGAGACAGTAATACATGCATTCATTACATCTAGGCTTGATTACTGCAATTCGCTCTTGTTTGGTATCAGTCAGATCTCCATTGCACAACTACAACTTGTCCAGAATGCAGCAGCCCAATTTTTAACCAGTACAGGCAAAAGAGAGCACATTACACGAGTTTTGGCCTCACTGCACTGGTTACAGGTTCACTTTCGAATCCAATTCAAAATAGTATGTCTACAAATCACTGAACAGTTTCGCCCTCTGATCTGCTACAACCATATACCACGTTCCCTGAGGTTAGCGGACCAGTTGCTCCTCACAGTTCCAGGAACTCGTCTTAAACGCAGAGATTACAGGGCCTTCTCTGTAGTAGGATGAAGACTTTGGAACGAGTTACCTCTGTTTGTCAGACAGGCCCCCTCCCTCTCAGTTTTCAAGTCCTGTTTAAAAACCCACTACTATTCGGTAGCTGTTTTGCTTGTAAAGATGGTCTCATTGGTATGCACCCTCCTCCATTGCTCCATCTTCTTTCTTTTTTTTTCCAGCACAAAAAATGAAAAATAAACTGTCCAGATTACCTGACTGAAAAATGTTGGATTGTATACTTGGATTATTGAGCATAGACTTTGTTGTTTTCAACCAGTTTGACAAGACTGTCACCAAGGAAGAGGGCTGGCAATGGAGGAGGGGGCGTACCGAAGAGACCATCTTATCACAAGCAGAACTGGTTTGTTTCACTTTGGAGTAAGCTGTTGGGGGAAGAATCAGTTTTGTTGTGTGTTTCCTTGACTGATGAAGCCTTCCGGACTGAAGGCGAAACGTTTCAGCACAAAAAAAAAAAGAAACTGTCCAGATGACCTGACTGAAAAATGTTGGATTGTATACCTGGATTATTGAGCATAGACTTTGTTGTTGTCATCACTCTCTGTTAAAATCAGGTCTCTCTTGTAAATGAGTTCCCCAGGCTCAATGGGATTAACCTGTATAAAAAAAGGTTGAATAAAATTTAAAAAAAGAGGACAGTGTGATGGAGGAGGATGACTCGTTGTGTCCTTCCCTGAGGAGGGAAAAGCCAAAAGAAGATGATTCATGGATATCTAAACAACATCGACTTTTTGTGTTACAGTTTATTGACAAAACTTCAAGAAAACATCTCATTATTACCTTTGCATGATGGAGGTCCACTCCATACATGGAGAGCTTTTTTATATTTTCCAAGAAGTTCATCTCTGCTTCAGCTGGATTCATTCCTCTAAACACAAAGTAACATGTTAAAGTGACACAAACTCACAGGAACACCAATTAAACTCCCAGTGAACACAACAAAAGACCACCTGTAAGTTTTGTGTAACTCCATGATCTTAGCCTCCATCTCTTTATTTTGATTTGGAGCAAAACACAGCTCGCTGACATAGTCCACACCACATTCCTCTGAAAGAGATAAATGGACAAAAGACAGACCAAAGTCAACAGGGGGGACCGTATTAATGTTTTGGGGTATTTCAAGTACCGTATTTTCCACCGTATGCGTCGCACTGCCCTATAAGTCGCATCAGTCCATATTTGTCTAATAAAGTGGAAAAATCCATAAATATGTTGCTTCACCGTATATATCGCATCTATTATGAGTCACCGCTGATGCATTGCCTTTGTTACGCGTCACCGCTGACAACCCGGAAATGTGGGCCAAACCAGGAAATATGGGCCGGTGTTGTGCCAAAAAACGATGGGCTGTCAAATGGCGGCCGTGGGAGCGTGCATGGGAGGACTTTAACAAGAATTTAACAAGATTAAAACTTAAAAACAATTATTTGTTTGCTCAAAATTATATTAAAAGTGTGCATCAATCTAACGTTTGCTTAATAAATGAACTTTAATGGTCAAATCAGCTGAATTTCAAAAATATTTTTGCTGCTGAGGTGCTGTGAAGCGGGCATGTGCAGCTTGACCAGTAGCAGCATTTCTTTAAAATTTAACAAGATAAGTACCTAAAAAAATTATTTGTTTGCTCAAAATTATAGCAACGATGTGTCTCAGTCTAACATTTATTTCATAAATGCACTTTAATGGTTAAATCATGTAGTGATGTTTATTTATTTATTTATTTATTTATTGTAAATTTATTCATTTCATATAAAAAACAATGACAATTTTTAGAAAGAAAAAAATTAAACAAAAAAACATAAAATGAAAGGAAGCAGAAGAAGAAAACATTTCTTATTATATCTGCTCCCTATTAAACAATCAAATTCAAACAATCAATTCAAACATTAATTTGCTTATTGTAATACAAAATAATAGTCTCATCAAAATACCTTTATAATTTGTTAAATAGAAACAACTAAATATAATTCTTTAACAAAATAGTTTTAACCATTTTCCTAAATGTTATATCGACTTCGCTTTTTTTACATTGTCCTCCAAACCATTCCAAAGATCAATTCCTCTTATTGTAGTAGATCTACCCTTTAAACTTGTTCTATACTTAGGTTTAACAAACATTTCTATTCCCTTTAAATTATAACTACT